ATAGTCTCCTGTTTTCTTAGATTCACTAATAAGTTATGTAAATCGTTTAAAATAGAAAATCCCCCAAGTTTGATGAGGGCTGGATGAAGTTCATCTGCTCCTGCGGCTTTGTCCATTTTCATCCCCTTGATCTCACCTTCGACTTCTGCGCTTGAGGGCGGGTCCATTGGGACTACATAGGGAGTAGGGCGCTCATGGGCTGATTGAGAAGTTGGCAACGCTGGCTGATTAAACTGCCTGCACTGGTGTGAAGCCCAACGCGCCAGGCGTTTTGACAACCTATGGATCGGCTTTCCACTCTCATCGCATATAGTTTCGCTGCCCGTTTCTCTTATCAGACGGAATTACTTGCGGTGTTTACCAACGAGGCGACCGTCTCCATCACAGATGCACAACAAGACCACCCCGCTTCTCAGTCTCTCTTCAGACTAGCACGCTGTTGCGCCCTGAGCTTTTTGCGAATCTCACTGTATCCGCTTCCAGTCGGAACACGTCTGCTAGCATTCATAAGTTCTAGAGTCTGTGTAGAGACCCTATGTCCATGTCGGCATACGTTCTGCTAATAACGTCTAGAGGCTTTGCGACCAGTGATCTACAGCTGTGTTCAGTGAGCTCTTAGCTGTGATGCCAGCGTAGTTTGATGCGCATTCAGAACATCTGACTTTGTCAGTTGGCAACTATCTATGCGCTCAAAAAGCCGTTACGGAGGTCCGTCTAAAGGTACCATCAGGTCAGCTCAAACACGTCCATGGTCAGACTCTGCGCTCGTAGTCCAAATCGAGCAAAAGTTTTGGAGGCAGCCTCTCCAGTGGCCACTGATAGTAATGTGATCGATTTGCTTCCATGGCTGGTCCGAGGCTGGTGAGCATCATGACACCATTCTGCGGGTACTGTGCTGGAAGTTATTGCTTGCGAGAAAGGGACGAGCATTTTCATATATGTTTAACTACCGCCCACCTTTTTCCTTACGGAAGCCTACACTATGTTGGTCGCCCAGATAAGGATCATAAGTGGATACTTTTCTAACTCAGACTTTCGAATCACTAGCTAACATAAAAATATCCGTAATCTTTCCGTAACGGATAAACACGTTCAGTTGGTGATAGAATTCATCTTCCACTGAGTCAGCGCTACAATTTGCGAGCGAGTCGGTTGCAATGACAATCAAGCACCGCTTGTCCCTTCTTAAATTCGAGGGTCTGAACGAGCCAGCCAGTCTGACAGCGCACATCCTAACTGTTCATTTGCATCAATTCAATCAAGATGAATAAAGCTCGGAGGCTCAAAGCAATGCCCACACCGGCTTTACCGGCAGCTGAAACCCCGTCGCTTTAGTATAATCTCAATGAGAAAATGTCGCCGGTGTCCATGTTGGGGATCGCAGGGTAAGTACAGAACTGCAATTCCGCAGCCGAGTTCCTGCTAAGCAGCAGAAGTTGACTAATACGGTCTCCAATGTCCGGGCAGTTATAACGATTCTTTTTTTCTATCTACTCTCTGCCACTGACAACTGTTTTACTGCTGCTACCTGCACACCTGTCACGTCAGGCGTGAACCG